AAGGGAAAATAGACTAAAATTTAGCTGAAGGAAACAAAGCTATGGCATTGTTCCCTACTGTTTACTGTTGCTCATATTCTTTTGGAAGGATTGATGTAGAAAGGTTCAGGATGAAATATTTGTTTTGTTCCTAAATGGTTAATTAAAATTAATTTGTATGAATAAAATATTTTGGATTGATTGAGAGCACTGTAGTTGTTCAATAATACAATTAATCCTCCAAAATACAGCTTGCCTAACAATTGTGCACACAGTGCATATTTTGGATAGTAATACTGTATGTACATTTTGCTCATGCTCCCTTTCTACTACCAAATATTTTATTCATACAAATTAATTTTAATTAACCATTTAGGAACAAAACAAATATTTCATCCTGAACCTTTCTACATCAATCCTTCCAAAAGAATATGAGCAACAGTAAACAGTAGGGAACAATGCCATAGCTTTGTTTCCTTCAGCTAAATTTTAGTCTATTTTCCCTTTTCAACTAGTTTCAAGAACTTAAAAGTCTGATGATATACCACTGAGAAATATTTTGGACAATTACATGGTAAATAAAATATGTTACAACAACATAAATTAAACAAAATGATTTTCTTATATCTCAAAGTTATATCTAAAATTAATTTAGCATTTGAAGACAATAAAACAGTCCTTTCTATGAAAAATATATTAATAACATAAAAGCATACTTGGTAACGCTGTTGCTGGAAGTTCTTGTGAACCAGTAGTTTTTGTCCAGGAGTACACTATGATGGGAGAGCCTTGTTGGGATTTACATTTCAGAGTAAGATCACTTCCAATCTCCTGTGATCCCTCAATGTGGCATTTAGTCTTTATGGGTTTTTCTAATAAATAAAGAATCTAATGTAAATTTTAATTAGGATTAAATGAATTGGCATTTGCTTGTAATCCAGAAATATTTTGTATATCCAGGAGATTTTAACAGGCTATTAATCAGCAGCAATTTGCCTTAGCAAATCCAAATCCAAAACAATATCACATATTTGCATATTAACCCTAAAACCATACTCTTTTCTCAGTTCACAATAATCCTGTAAGTGCCTCATTAGCTCAAGCATGCCTCATTAGCTCAAGCTGTAATGCTAATCTGTGAGTCAAGGAAAAGTTTCAAACTTTAGAAGATAACAACCCACAATCTTGCTGAAATATCTGTTTCACTTCAGATGGTTAACAATAACCATTCCAAGTTACAACTATTCTACAAGCTTTGATCTGCAATATCACAATAAATGATATGCTATATAATTTCTAATGATATGAATTACCATGACAATAGTATATCAGAACCAGTGGGTATTGGTTTAGGTTAAATGAAATCAAGATTTAAACTCCTTTAGCCATGGAAGCCAACTGGCTGACTTTTGACCAGTTATTCTCGGGTCAATGGTTCTCAACTTTTCTTCATCATGGATCCCCTTTAAATACCTTATAGAAATTTAGCACCCACCTCTCTCCTAGAAGAATGAAATATTTTAGGAAATATTTAAAAAGGCAGAATATTATATCTGCCTGGATGATAAAAGAAGAAATATATTTTAAAGCTCCCTGCCCCCAGCAGATATTTGGTGCCCATTAAAAAAGACTGTGCCAGCCTATCTACAAGACAAAAGACCTCCAGCTCCAGGGTGATGGGATTAAGACATAACCCTCCAGGACATAATAGGATTAACCTATCTAGCAGCAGAGCTCACCACATGGCACAATCACTCAGGACACTGTATCACCCAGCAAGCTTCAACCAATCCTGGGACTCAGACAACCTACAAAGTTAGCTATGACCCCCTACAACAGCCAATAGAATATATGTTCCTGCACAGGAACAAGAAGTTCAAGTGCAAAGCCCACAAGAGGGTATAAATACCC